GCGAGACAATCGAGATTCTCGTAGGAAATGACGAGCGACGCGACGAAACTGGACACTTTATGTTATACGCGCACTTTTAAATACGCGATTGATAAATGTTAATGTCTCTCGTACGAGACGATCGAGATTCTCGTAGGAAATGCTCGCGTTATGACGAGCGACGCGATGACACGCGAAACACCCGCCTCGCTCGACTGAATCGCGCTAACTGATAGACTGTTTTTCGACAGAGGTGTTTACGGCGCTACGTCATTTCGTGGAACCGGCGCTCGGCTTTCGACCGAGTTGTTTACGGCGCGCGGCGAAACAAGGTCACGCCGTAGGTACGCAGGATCATTCACGTGGCGACAATTGAACGAGTTCGTTACGCCCGCGTCGTTCCGTATATCGTATGTATTATTCTTTCTTGATGAAAAAATCGCGATCGCTCTCTGCGAATAATTGGTGATCGATATCGTCGTGCGATCGCTGAATCCTCGCGATTTGCCGTCGATGCTCGGTTAACTGGCAAGACTCGATATCTCGCGCGATTTACACATGAGATTTATACATTCAAGAATCAAAGCGCTAGCTAACTTGAAATTACTTCTTGCGGTAATTACGGACGACAATTGGCTTCTTTAAACGAGGCTGGTATTCGGACACATCTCGTATCATCGCATTGAGTCTCTCGTCGCTTCGAGTATAATTCGTTGGTTGTTTCTAAGTTGAAAACGCAAAATATTACATGAAATATTGAATCGAGTGCTTTAGCCAGCATTTGTCAGTGATTTATTAATACTACTAGTTTATATATTTTTTACGGAATTTATAAATGAAAATACATATGCGACATTGAATTTTTAATTATTTCCGAACGAGTGTGTCTCAGTTAACCGTTAATTTTGTTGCGTTCATTGTACGGCGTCGATGTTAAAATGTATAATTTTCAAGTTTTTCGTTTATTAACGGAATCATACAAATGCTGATCATAATGCAGAACTTTGAGTCGAATTTCATCGCGATACGTTTAATTAAAGAATTAAATATCAATTAATCTTATCCGTGCTTAATTACATTGTAATATTCACTCATCGATAGTTTAAATTGGTACATCGGCCATTTCTGCTGATTGAAATTCGTACCATCGGATAAATTTACGACAATGACGTCTCAAAACTGGTTTTAGTCAAAATTTTCAGCAGAAACGCGGCTATAAATACGAGCTTTAATAAATAAGTGTTAATTAAAGCTTCTTGAATCGTTTGACTCAACGTTATCGAATCGTGAAAATGTTTAGTTAACGTAACAAGAATACTTAAAAAAAAGATAAATAAATACATAAATAGTCACTGCGGTGATACCGTGCGGCCGTGACTTCGGCGTTTTGTTCCATAGTGTACGTGCCACGTTCACAAACGTCGGTTAACTGTGTTAACCAGAGTACAGTCGATTCCTTATCTTTTTATCTAAAAAGAAACAGAGAATCAATTATTTTGATTAGCAGTTAATCGACGTTTGTGACACTGACCGTGGGTCTTGAAATACCGGTCATTGCATCCCGTGTCGCTGCAGGGACGATCGAGATCGATCCGCGATCGAGATCGCGCACTACCAGAAGTGATAAAAGAAATGAGTAGGAGAGAGAGATTAGAGGAAGTCGTGCGAGAAAGGGAGAACAAGAAAATGATCCCCCACTTGCGACAACGATATGATAGAGGGGGACTTTTATAAAGAGTATGTCTACTTGTACGTACATACAAGTATGTAAGTTTTCCTTTGACAGTGTATGATACATCGCCAGTGTGATACATCTAGAAGACTCTGTTACGGAGTTAAATATACGCAGCGGGTTATCATTGTGCACCGTCATTGTCCCGAAGAGATGACGGAGAAAGGTTCCAAGCTCCCTCAGTTCCTGGCTGCCGCGGCAGGTAAGTTCACGTCTGTCAATAAAGGGCTAAATCCTACAGGAGGAAGAGTCAAATTAATCCATTATCACAATGCCGTTGTTTGGGGTCGGTTTACTGTAATCTGAGTCTACTTTTTAATGTATTTCTTCAAAGTCATTCAACTTCCACGGTTACAGAAAATTGAAAAGACTTTTAAATTATTTTTCGAAAGTGATGTCGATACGTGGTGAATTAATTTTTGCGAAACACGTTACTAATCGTTGTTAATGAGAGTTACACTCTGTTTTATTGTGCGGGTAACAGAAATTGTCAATACTCGAGAATCTTTAATTGCTTAAAAACGGCATATGGAAACGATCGTTTGCTGCAAGTTTTGATAGCGCGTCTTTAATTATAAATCATATCGTGGTTTGTTAAACGAAGAAAAACGATAAAATACGTCAAATCATTCGTCCATCGATGTGGTGTAATCGATATAGATAATTTAGCGATAGAAAAATAATTATCAACACAGAGACATTTTTTAAGAGAATTTTACCTAAATGAGTCACCAAGTGTCAAACAACTTTCTCCTATTCACATTACCTCGTGACTTATTCGTGTTTTGCGATGCGAAACAATGATTCTCCACAGGCGTATATCTGTCAGGATCTGGTTCTTCTCGATAATACTCGACACGGATTTATTGTGTGATGATAGGTAATCGCTATCATCTTGTGTCAGGCGTGTTCAATGAAAAAAATCATTATCATCGTCGTCATACTGACGTCACAGTTCTTAATGAACTCTACTATAGATCATTCTTCCAATTATCCCATTACGGCTAACGAGCGCTTCACATATCCATCCATCATAGAAGCTTGCAGCCGTATTGCAACAATGTTGCAGAAACATCGTATAAACATTTTACAATGTAGTTTTGAATGCAATGTTACGGCAACATTTCAAAGATATCGTTTGTTGTATTGTAAAGAATCTTTTCAATCACTCTATGTAGTTGGGTGCATTATTATTATTACTGTTGCTTATAACTAAACAAACTTATTTTTTAGAAATATAATTTTTATAACAAACTTCTTATGCTTTTTTTCTACAGTTTTTGTCCAATCCTCAACTTAAAATATATAATACTTTAAGCAATTATTTTTAAAACGAAACCAAATTGATAGTAAAACGGCAATATTTTAAGTTAAATTTTTACTACGATGTATTTTTGCTACTAGAAACAAAAATTTTCCATAATGTATTACTGTACATTTGATAAAACTACAACAAACGAAACGTGTATAACAGCTATTACAGTTCGTACTTTTTTAAGGCGATATTGTATTTTTGTCGAACATAAGATACCAAAGACTTTATTTTGTAAAAAAAATACACGATTGTAAAAATTTGTATGTATTCTAAATTCTTTCCAACAACAGGAAATAATTTAAAATAATTGTAAAGCGATGTGTCACACGCTGCCGCCGGTAAAGAAATTGTGAAATCGCTTCCAATATTTTCTCGAAAACGACTTTACAGAATGAGTTAACATTTTTACAGTCGATGTTTGACGGATAGAAGAGCAAAGTGGTTTTCTGTGTTTTTCCTGATTTTGCAAAAAATACAGGTTTTGCGTGGTAAATAAAACTGTAATTTTTTTTCTAAAATCGAGAAAAACGTGAAGAACTACTTTCTTCCTCTATATAATCAGACGTCGACTGTAAAAATTTCAAGAGATTCTGTAAAATCGTCACAGCAAGTCTATCTGCCATCGCGGCTGGTGCGGCTGCTGGATGGACTAGTCCGATCCTCCCTCAATTGGAAAAGGATGGTGGACCTTTGGGATCGCCGATTAGTAAGGAGCAGAGTTCCTGGATAGGATCTCTGATGCCTCTCGGCGCTCTCATCGGAAGCTTGGCGGCGGGATACCTCGGGGAAAGGTATAGTTGCTCAAATTAGCTATTCAGTGCACGCACGAATACTTTCGCAATATAGCGATTTAACAATAATATGCGTCCCATTTCTCGAGATCACAAGTGGAAATTAGAGAAAAGATCCAATCTTTGTAGATAAATTAAGTGCACACCAGATTCAAATATTTGACGAAAATGATTGAACCAAAGACGATGAAAAGCGAACGTTTTCTGTTTCTATAGATGGAGTCCTAAACGAACGCTGCTTTTTTCTACAGTACCATGTTTAATTGGATGGATACTTGTCGCCACAGCAGGCCACATTGCTCAGCTTTATGTAGCTCGAATTATGACTGGATTTGCTGTAGCCATGATATTCACAAGCCTCCCTATGTATTGCGGTGAAATCGCTGAGGTAAATTTATTTTGCATAGGTTTACAAACGATAATTATTTATATGCAGAGTTTTCCAAGTTTATCGTGTTTCCTTTCTGTTAAAAATATGACGATTAATTGGTACTTAATTTAACGTGACATAAATGTTTGTTTCTTTCAATAATTTTGTTCATAAATTCTTTTTTGCTGAGTTTTCCAAAGATGTTCCACCTCACAGAATCTATGAACATGACTGGAATAAATAATCTTACTTCTTCAAGTCTTACTTTGTTAAATAATAACAAAGCTTAACAAGTGTTGTATCTTTTTAGACTTCTGTCAGGGGAGCATTGGGCTCATTTCTCCAGCTCTTCGTCACGATCGGTTTCCTATATATCTGCGCTATTGGGCCATTCGTCAGCTACATGGTATTGTGGATCCTCTCTGCCATTCTGCCGGTGATCTTCTTCGTCTGCTTCGTGATGATGCCGGAGTCTCCATATTTTCTCCTCAAGCAGGGTCACAGGGACAAAGCGATCGCATCTCTAGCGAGACTCCGAAGCAAATCCGAAGCGGCTGTCCAGAAAGAGGCCGACGAGATACAGGTAAGTCAGCATAGCATAATTTTCTTTTATAAAATCTTCTGTTCGTAAAAAATCTTAAGGGTTCAAAAATCAATTCGACTCTTACAATTAGTTGATCTAGTTGATTAATTCTTCGTTAAGAAATTTAAATTATCCGGATATTTAATCTTATAAAAAATTCTGTTAACAATACGTGCGGTCGGATAAAGTACTCTGATAAAAATTGACAATTCCATTTCACGACTATGAGTTTGCTTTTGTAACTTTGTTGATTTTTGACAAGGGAATTGCTACTTATTTATCTGGGAACCATTTTAAAGACTTTAAAGCGCTGATTCTAAATGGACAGCAGTGTCAACTGAAACTTTATCTTCTAACAACAATTTCGCAACTTTCTATTATCCCATTTGTTTCAGAATATTCTAGGCAATCTATTATACGCTCCAGTTTTCATTTATTGCTTAATAAATTTGTCTCGTTTTTGAGTTTTCAGGTGACACTTGATGAGGCTTTCAAGAATCAAGTCAGTTTCTCGGATCTATTCAAAGTGAAAGCTAACTTCAAGGCGCTGACCTACACGTGTGGTCTGGTTACCTTCCAGCAGCTTTCTGGTATCACAGTCGTATTGACATACTTGCACAATATCTTCATCGCTGCCGGAGGTCTCGTCCCATCGGAGACAGCGCCGATTGTCATCGCAGTCGTGCAGATGTTAGCGTCAGCGGTGACACCCGTAGTTGTCGACACGTCAGGTCGAAAGATACTCCTCGTTTTCTCCAGCGTCGGAGAAACACTCAGTTTAGTGAGTAATTGCTTCTGTTTTTACATTTAAACCCAAATCAGCCCACGGTGGATTGAAAACACACTTATGAAAAAAATTAGTTCAATTTGGGATATTAATTTGCAGAGTGCCCTGGGCCTGTATTTCTATTTGAAGGAAGTACAGCACGCGGACGACGTGGTGAAGCAGATATCCTGGTTGCCGTTGGTCGCGGTGATAATCTTTATTGCCACGTACTGCGTGGGCTGGGGTTCGGTGACATGGGCAATGATGGGCGAAATGTTTGCCTCAAACGTAAAGGCTAAGGCTTCTAGTATAACGGTCTTCATCTGCTGGTCCATTAGTTTCATCCTCACCAAGTTCTCCAGCAACCTCGAAGAGGCGTTCAATGGCAAGTTCGTCACCTTTTGGCTGTTCGGAGGATTTTGTATCCTTAGTATTTTTTTCACTGTATTGCTGTTGCCCGAAACGAAAGGCAAAACTTTCCAGCAAATCCAGGACGAACTCGGTGGAGTGACTTCGATTATGAACGTTGAGAATGGGACAAATAGGTGAGGAGTGAAACACTTCATTTTGATTATCGTGACGAATGGTGTACGTTGAACATCTGATAAATTTACAAGACATGTCGAGGACATGTCTTGGATTATTGTATGCATCTCACATTTCATATGAAATTTTATATCCTAATGGAATATTGTACATATTTTTGTTGTGTATCATGTTTTTAGATTCACTGTGTAACTTTTTCTTTCTTGTTATATTTTTATATATGTTTTAAAATAAATTGTGAAAAAACAATTAAGTAAAAATGAAAAACAATTTTATTGCAAATAAAAGAGAACCGCCGATAAGAATTCGGCGAAGGTGGTGGAGGGCCTGTACAAGTTGGTCTGTTTATATCGGATAAAAATTTTATTCAAATCTACAAAACCTGACATATTTAATTATGTCAAAGTGCTAGTAGAAATAAAGCCTGTCAATAAAGTATGATGATTAATGATAAAAAATAAAACTTCAATACTTGCTGTATAATCTAACATAACTGTATTGTTAGCAAAATTTTTTGCGGCTTGCTAGTACTGGCAGCCATAGCTTAATATGTTAACTTTTTATCAAAGATACAGATCATACTTTCATCAAAGATACAAGAGAAATTTCCAGCGAAGAGATACAGACACAAGTTATATTTCTTAAATTCCTTCGATTTTGGATATATGTAGATACAAGGTAAACTGAAATATTTTCTCGAAGAAAGATACAGATATAGACAGTATCTGTATTTGTTTTATACTATTTACTCTTTTGTATTATGTAATCCAAATTTTGTAAACTGCATTCGCATTATTTACATTATTGAGAATTTTTGATTGTCTAAATTACTGAATATACAAATAAATATGTAGAATATACATCTTTTGCTCAAATTTTTGCTTCAAGATTCTTTTATCTTCTAATTTATAGATATTACATATGCTCTATGTTGACATAACTTACATGTAAATCCTTTTCTTTCTTTTTATTTTTATACAACCTATTTATCCATTTAAAGTATTCGATAATAAGTATAACATCCAAAGATGGTAAGTAGAGCAGATTAAAGAAAATAGCTGTTTGTAAAGAAGTGTCACGTGATGTTCATGCATAGGCCGTTGTTTAACAAAGCGCTTCTTCAATCGCAGATGTATTAATTAATAAACTCGTTATTTGTTATAATCATAAAATAGTACAGGAATTTTTTATTGGCGAGTTTAACTCGCTCTATCCTTTTTGGATGCTATTTATTATCAAACACCCTGTATATATAAATAATAAAACGTATAAGTGGTACGTTAGATAGTACTAGAGTGATATAAATAAATAATCCCTTCATATTTAAATCTTTTATTATCTTTTGTACCGAGTATGTTTTGTTATGTACACACACAAGATCGGTAATTCTACAGAATATAAATATATGTACATGGTATTAATGATATGAATATTATATGTACATATATTGTGATAGATATTACGTATTAAAAAATATACTTATATCAAAGAAAGGTAAATTAAATATAATAAATAAAGACGTTATTTTAATAGTACTTCATACAGTTTTTACTTTCATTAATTTCGAGATATTAGTTCTTGAAGTTAAATATAGAAAAAAAAATGCAGAATTGTGGCATCCTACCTGTTCATCACGGAAAAAAAAGTTAAAGGTATATTAGTTCTTAAATAAAAATACTCTTGATCCCACAAGTGGTGAATTCTAAATTCACAAAAAACACCACTAAAATAATCTTCAATTTAAGGATATTCCTTTATGGGGTTCAATTTTGGAAGAGTTTTATGAATATCAGCAATGCAAGGAGTCATCAGATACTAGATGTTCTTAATAAACCTTTTTCTTGTTATATATATTGATAGTCTTCAATTTCTTTATTTTTAACTAAATTTTAATTAAAAAAAATATCTGTATAAGTGATTTTGAAAATTAAATAGAAAAATAATAGGTATTTCATGTATAATATTTATATCGATTAATACTCTGTGATAATAATAATTAGTTTACCGAAACTTTCTCTTTTTTTACCGTTCTTATGATTGGAATACTTCATTTGATTCATCTGTCTTTCTTGAATCCTGTGGTAATTTTTCTCGTACGGTAATAGTACTCATGTTTTTAATATTTGCTACAACGGAAAGTAAAATATGTGGAATTATAAAGAAATTCCACATATGCCAAATAAATAATTAATTTTGTTATATAGATATATCATTTTAGTTAGTTTATTATTCGTTAATTAATTTATTCGGAAAACTTATTAACTTTAACTTTACGATTAAATATGAGAAATGTTATATGTATATGTATTTTTATTTGTCAAAAGAAGAAAACCACTTACTTATTTTATAAGGTTTCCGTGTTTTACCAGTAGCAAAAATGCAAGTTGTAGTACCTACTTCTTTGTGCACTAGTTTGTATTTACTACCATTGCATTTTATTGATCTTTCTTTTAATGTCAACACTTGACTTTTCAAATTGCATTGTACCACCTATAAAAATGATTCCAAATTTAACCTTACTCTAAAAAGAAAAATTTGATTATAAACTATTATTTTTCTCCAGAAATTAGAATCTTCGTTTTGAATAAATTTGAATTTGTTGTTGAATAATTATATGTACGATTACTAGTACATTTCTTCAATTTTCCGAAGTTGCTATCTTCACATGTTAATAGAAAATGATTAAATTTAAACAAAAAATAAGATTTAAAGTTAAATGTGTGGCATAATAATAAAGATGTTTGCTGTTAACGCTTACAGAATTTATTTAAAAAAAGTATACCTTGCTTGGAACGTTCAAGAGAAAAGCTTCCTCGTTTTCAGAAAGATCAGCCAACGTAAAACTTGTTGGCATTGTTTCTACAAGTAATTCTTGATCGTCGACTAGTTCCTGTAACTAAAAGGAACATTGATCAAATATGAGTCTTCAAATGTAGTTAAATTACAAATATCTATGAACATTAATTTAATGCAAAGTATGTTAATCTTTGGATTAATAACTTTAATTTATTTTATAGTTGTAATTTAGATTGATATTCGTAAATAAATTAAATTCAAAATTTCTTCAATCTTGTTATATATCTATTTCAACGTAAAGAAAAAAAAGAGAAGAGTTGATATTATTTTTAGACTATTATTTTTTAAAACATATTTTGATATAATTATAAGAATCAGTTTAATGTTATTTAGAGTTACTTACATTGCACGGCCTGTACTGGCAAGAAATATTAACATGTGTATTTGAACGTGATTTCATTGATAATTGTGCATTTTTCTCATGTTCAGATTTATGTCTTGTCCCAAATTCTGCTCTCGTTATTTCTTCATTCTCATTATTTTTAGTATACATGCTCTTTGTATCTAATAGATGAGATTGTTTGTGTTTCGGAGATTGATCAATAAATTCCTCATTATTGCATAAAACATTATTTTTAGAAACGCTCAACTGAAAATTATCATGTTCGCTTCGGTCATCATTATGCACATTTTCACAATACAGGGTTTCCTTTGGATGTTTGTTTGTTGTAGATTGAAATAAATCAGTAGTTTCATGTGTACACCTTCTTAACGATTCTGCTTTCTTTTTTATTTCTTCCTTCATCGTTGAATCTAGTTTTCCTGCTTCTGTAGGAACTTTGGATTTTGTAGTTTTTCCAGGTACATAAGTGTTTTCGCCGTGGGAAATGTATGTTTGTTTAGAAACGCAATCGATTTCATCACTTTCCAACCTGTCGTCTTTATTGCACCGACTCGTATCTGACAATGAATTGTCAATATGTTTTTGCGAGGTTTTAGCTGTTACATATTTATTATCGCTCTCACTGGAATCGCTGCACACAACTAAATTCAATCTTGCTTGCTGCTGAAGTCGCTTTTTAGTTTGTGGCGATACATTAATCTCTTCATTATCAGTTTCCAATGCTGCATCAATTTCTCCCACATTTATCGCTGCTTCTTGAAAATTATCGATATTGTAATCAATGATATTTGGACGATATATTAATGTATTCTTTTTTACAGGAGTACATTTGTTGGCAATGTCCGCATTATCAGCAATTGTCTCAATATTACTGTTACCATCATTATTTTTCTTGTCTATTATCTTGTATCTTTTGTTGATAGTTTCAGTGCACACAACTTTAGGTAATAATTGTTGCCTTTGTTGTATATTATGTGTATCTTCCAACGTCACGCGAGATTTATCTTCTTGATTTATTGAATGCATTTTTGCATTCTTGTCAGCTTCACTTAATTGAGGGAAATTTTCTTTCCTTTCTTCGTCCGCTTGTTCTTTACCCTCGCCTGAAACATTGCAAGATTTGGGATATAAATCTTTTATGTGACTTAGAAAGTAGCAGTTGTTGCTTATGAATATCGCACAAATGTTCTAATTTTACAAAATGCGTCTTACCTTCTTGATTAACTGAGGTAACTTCTATATCCTTATCGACCTTATTTAATTGGAGAGATGTTTCTTCCTGTTCAGAGGACTTCTTTAGGTTCTCACCATCTTTTTCCTCTTGTACACGATTGCAAGATTCGGAATGAACATCCTTCATACAATCTTGTCTAGGAGATAGCAATTGCTGTTTTTGAGTAGCATTTGAATCTTCTATTCTTGCAAAATGTTCGTTTTTCTTATCTTCTTGATTTATTTCTACGCTTACGTCAAATTGATTTAATTGGAGAGAATTTCTTATTTCTTCTCCCCTAGAAGGTTGCTTCTCCTCATCATTAGTTCGATCTCTTAAAATGTTGCTAACTTTCGATTGTGCATCCTCTTTCTTACAATCTTCCGCTGTTTCGATTACTTTATCATTCTTTTTCAATTCGGAGGACAAAATAGGTGTCTTTTCCGCATGTTCTTCCACATTGCGAGTTGCAGTCTTATCAGATCCTTTAATGTTGACAAATCTATCTGGTGAATCCTCATCGATTCCCGAGTCTTTTTGTTGGTCGTCCTGCGACGAAGCATCCAGTGACGGATCCTTTATCGCAGGTGTATTTTGTGTTCTCCTTAATGGTGTATCACTTCGATTAAAACGTATGGCAGCTGAAAGTAACTGATCACAATTCAATCTATCTTTTACATTGTTACTTGTTTCGAGATCTTTATTGTTACTCGTAGAAACAGCTTTGTCGAGTGTCGGTGTCAAGTTCCTTCTAGCGTTTAACAGTCTTTCTGATTTGCGACTCGCGTACGTATTGTCACAATTCTTTATCGAGCTTCTATTACTTGCTGCCGCTTTGGTATTTTCCGATTTAACACCGGTATTTGATTCGTTATCAAGATCCTTACCATTTTCTAAACTAGTTGATCGAGACGACCGACAACGTGAGTGCCGTGAACCAAGTTTAGCATTTGATTCAGCCACTGTCGTACTTTGGTATCGGTGATTCCGCGTCATATTTTTACTTACAGGCTTTGCTTTATTGGATATCGTACTATCTTCGGAACTTAATCTACTGTCCACTGCATTAGATCCCTCACGATTCCGTCTCGTACATTTATTTCCACACTTCACTATTCTAGGTGCTGTACCGTCTTGAGAATTTGATCGCGGGGAAAGACCTTGTCTACCAGATCGAGCCTTAAAGACATTACGATTATTCGAAACGTCTCCTTCGTAGTCCGAGACACTTGTACACACTTGTGTACACGTACAGTCGTCCATGCTGCTGCTTTTGCTCTTAACTTTTTGCCAACTCACATCGGCACATTTCTCAGACGCAGTAGCTTTCGTTTGTGACAATTTTCTCTTCTGTACTCCTTTCTCTGTGCTCCCGCCTCTGCTTATCGCCCGACCCTTGACGTGTTTCTTTTTACAGTCTTTGTAGTCCTCTTCGCTGACAAGGACATATCTTTCAGAATTTCTGGTCAAGTATCTGGCCTGCTTCGCCGGTGAGCTGTATATAATGTCGTAGTCGACGTCAGACAGGCAGCTGCTGTCGCTGGTGTCGGTGTCGCTCGACAAGTCTCGCAGAACGCTGGTCTTCAGTTCCACGTAGTGCCTGTAGTCCTGCGCGCCGCAGTGCTTCTTTATCTTGGCGTTGAGCACCTTCGTCCTCCTTGACATCCTCCGCGACGGCCTCAATTTACTTATCAGGGAGTTGTCGGTCATTCTGTTCGCGACGGAGTTGTCCGTGACTTCCCATGCGATCGTCTCGTGGGAGCACATGGCGCCGGTCCGTACGCGAGCACGTGGAACCTAAACGTGACCACGTTTTTCAGTAACAACGAAATAACAGTATGAAGCGAGAGACGCTACAGGGGGTCCTTCGCAGGAGCGACGGACTCCGCGGGAAATGATCGGTTGTAACTTCTAAATAAGAGCATTTTCTCGAAAGTTTAAGGAACGACAGATCTAACCTCAAAAGCGGCTCCCGACGGTCCGTCACGTCGTTGGCGATGGCGAGTCTCCATGACGTTTCGAACTTACGTAGGGTAAAATCTCACCGATTGTCGAGAATGCTCGCGTCACTTTGCGCAAACAAACAGCGAAAACAACGAAGATCAATGTTCCGGCCGTACGCACGTACAGAAAGGAGGGAATAACAGGTGGATGTGTCGGGGTGAAAGGGATATTGCGAGATTTGCGAGCGTATGGCAAGCTGCGAGGGACGAGGTAGTGAATTTGATTGGCTCGCCATTCAAAATCGGTGTTTACTGACCTCCTATACGTAGGATTCCAATATGGCGCCACTCGTCTCTCCCGCCGTTGGCAAAACAAACGTGGAATCAACGATTCAGCACAAGACATTTCGTTGGCAACGCAAAATTTGAGGCAAACTCTTCGTTCGATATCTTTATCCATTTAAAAAATTGTTATAGAATTATTAATCTTTGATATACGGGAGAAGAGATTCGGGGACGGCGAATTTCCTGGAAATTCGATGAATTAATCGCCACCCCCGAACTGTTTTCACTCACCGATTCGTCTCTGGGTTCAGATTTAGAAACCATCTATAAACCAACGTTTCCAGAGATTGAGATTTTCACGACACAATTTTTATATTTTCACCCGACCCGGGCGGCCGGGCCTTTGGCGATCTGTCTATTGATCTGTGGCAGGAGTGAGTAGAGAGAACTGAGAGAACGAGAGGTGAGAAGCGGAAGAAACGGACAAAGGGCGAAAGTAGAGAGGGAAAGGGGAAGGGAGGTAAAGGTCGAAAATAGAAGGATATGGGTGGGTGGATGGGAGTGGAGATGGGTGGGAGAGAAGGAAAAAGGGAGGAGTGGAGGAGAATACAAGGAGTAATTAATTGATTAATTAATAAAATAATTAAGTAATGAAATGATTATAGGAAAGGATAGAGGAGAGTGAGATGGATACCACAAGGAGGAATCATGAAAGGAAAGGCGAAACAGGATGGAGAAGGAAAAGATGAATGATGGAAACAGGGAGAAGAAGGAGAGAAAGGACACGTGACAGAGGAAATGAAGGAAGGTATAGAGGGTGGGACGAGCGGGAGGGGGGTAACAGAATGTAAAGGTCGCCTATGGCCAGGTCACGGAGAGACGGGGAAAAGAAATGGAAAGGGTTCGGGAACGCTCCCTGAAAAAGCGCCATATTGTGAAATGGATATAGAGAGAGACGCTATAAGAGGTGAGAGGTTTGGGAACGTTCGTTAAAAACGCTTTGTAATCCTAAGGGGAATCAATAAAGTTATACTACTACTACTACTACTACTACAGCTTCAAGTTTCAATGAAGTCAACCATTTTGGCTAAATTGGCGTGTGCGAGAACTTACGATAAATATATTTAACTGAATTTTCTTGCACAGCACAACGAGAAATAAGAAAATTGTTTGCTGTTATTATTTTACGTCTATCGTCTTCTTAAATGTGACATACACGATTGCTGTTACCTGCCAAAATCGCAACTTCGGCATTGACGATTCGCTCGGATATGCGGGAAAAGTTGGTTGAACGGAGAGGAAATGTTTTTACGAAACAGCGCTGTCTTAATTATATCTGTTTTACATTTATTCTCTTCGATAATATAAAATTACGTTAATAACACGAGATGCGTATGTTACAATATTTCACAATGTAACCATGTCTTCGACATAATTGCGGGAAGCAATTGAGGAGACCGTCGTCTTGTTAGCGTATGAATGCGCGATCACGTCGAGTCAATTTCTCGAGATGCCATCGCGTGCGGAAATACCGATACGAATTGCATTTTGATTCGCAAAGTAATGGCGAATCTACGTTCTTGCCGGATTTAAAGCTAATATTCTTGCGGGACGTCTTTTAAAAAGAGTTCGGTCTATATAATTTAATTAACATAAGGAATACTTAGGCCAAGTCGTATTTTATAAATAGGGATATATATGAAAAATATAATTAACATAGGCCTTGTCTCGAACAGGCGTTATTCTATAAAATAAATTTTTTAAGTCCACAAGAAAACAAAATAAAAACTTTCGCTTGGGAAAAAAAAGTGATATAGTGGTACGCATCTGTACACCAGGAGCCTCTCCACATTTTTCTGAAGCTCCGACTACGTTAGCATATCGCCTGGACTCGCCAATGTTCGCAACTATCGGTCGCTCCGCGAAGCGAGCAAAGTTTCTTTCGGCGGAGACTCTACCTCATGTTATTCGCGCTTCCGAAAAAAAAGAAATAGACTGAAAAAGAAGTCGAAGACTTCGCTTGAGAAAACAGTCGCGCGCATTCCGTTACAACCGCTGTAAAATAGATATACCTGGTATAAATAGTACGAGAACTATATTACAAAAATATACAGCGTCAGCGAAGTGACGCCAAGTTACATCCAAATTAAACCATCTCAACAATTATGATTTCTTATCGCTATACTAATTACATAAATACATCTTATATACATCCTTCGCGTATGATTCGTGTTAGTCGGTAGAAACAGTATTGCATACATGTGTGAACTCGCTACCTTGAATAAAAAATACAGAAAATAATATACCGCGCGACGGACAGTGATATCTCGTTCCTCTTCTTATTTGACCTGTCAAAAAGTTATGTTTACGCAATTCATTTTATGCTGCGTGTGTCGATATGACACTTTTAAATAAGGGTAACTAATTACGAAGATCTCAAGATAGAGCCGAAAAATGTTACAATCAAGTCGATCAGCATTAATTCCCGTTTACCGCCAGGCTTCTACACACAACTGAACTTGACACCTGAAAATTTCACAGCAATGTAAATTCGAAGATGAGAATATCCTTCCGTTTTTGGATATTCATACATTTACAATCGTGTCAGCAATTGTTTTTTACGTTTTTATAACTAGAAACTTTCAACGCGTTAATAAACATTCGCAATTACATTTGAAAAACTTTTAATATGTTCTTTCTTCCGTGGTTTCGTAGGCAACGTGTATTTTATCGAATATTCTCAGAATCTGAACGCGCTCGATCGTACAATATTTAGCGGTTTAAGTAAGAATTAAATGTTTGTACCGTCGTCACTGGAGTAGCAGTTATGGCAGTGGAGCTTATTATTTCGGACGCGCACGTCCGTTCCATTCAGTCCATCGCCGAGACGCACGTGGCACACGCAACACTTGAAGCATTCCATATGATAAAACAATCGTAGGCTCTCGATTATCATCGCGGCGCCCCGACCTAAGAGATCGTAAGGATGTTTAGGATAACGATAAAAGAACGTTTCTAATTTTAGCCTAAACATTTCATTACCTAATTCTTCTCCGCAATGCGAACACTTTTTCTTCCCGCTCACGCTCAGCATCTTTTCCTGATTCTCATTATTATTCGCGATTGGTGCGTGTTGTGTTTTTTGAGACTGTAGTGTATATTGTGGCGATTGATGTTGCACAGTCAAATGTTCTTGATTGTGAACTTGCTCCGGCCTAAATAGAAAAAAATGCTCATAAATAATAAAAAGCAAGATTTCGAAAAGAAAGTTTAGATAGAAGGGCAAATATAAATAAAAAATATATAACTTTTTTATTACTGAACATTTCATTTCTTTATGTGTTATTATGGAAAAATAAATACAAATTGTTTTTAAAATAGATTGATTTGTAAATCGCCGAATATTAATTAAATGTACCTTCGCCTTGTTAGAAGAGGTTTCTCCTGCGTTTTATTCTGTACCCTTTGCGTTAGAGTTTGTATAATAGAATCAGGTAGCGGTTTACTATCTGTCCGAATTGGAGCGTTATATGGTACGGAAGTGCCAGTTACATGCGGTTGAGATTTTCGCGCCGGTGATCGTTGGTTTCTCTCATTAATCCTCCTTTGTTCCGCCTCCTGTCGAGAAACAATTGAGATTGAAGCACTTTTTTCATGATAGGGTATGTTACTAAACAAATATTGAAATTAAAAAAATGAATCATAAAAAACGAACAAGAATGAAATATTTTACGAATAATAAATTATTTAGTCTTCAACAAACTTTTTGTGATAGATTTAACATGCTTTTTTTTAAATTACGAGACTATGTACAGAGAAAACGTAGGTGTCAATTAACAGAAATAATCCTAATACACACTTGAATGAGCCAATGTTGATAGTTCACATCGTGAGCGCCTCTTGGCACGTCACTCTTTCTTCGCCACTGATCACCTTGAACAATTCGTGGACGCGGTACTGCACTTAATGCCTGCAAAGTCTGCCTGGACATTTGTTGACCGGTGTGATTTCCGCCGAGTGTTGCTGCCGACGCGCTCTCCCGAATCGACGCGTCTACTTGTTGGGGAATCGAATCCGCGGATGGTATACGGCTATTCCTACACATTCCCAATCAAATAAAGAAATTCAATAATACTAGTTACCATTTCGTTGCGTTTTACCACATCCGTCTTATTATCTTATCACATACAAAGATTTCAGTTCAATTTATATTTTAGAGTTGGATTTTAGTTTCATTTAGATATAATTTAATTAACGCTTATTAGATATTAAAAAATACAGGAAAATTTAATATAATAATGGATATTGGAGTATACGATTTATTATCGTATTTACCTGATTGTAACATCTCTTTGTCTCTGATCTAGCATACGTGGTTTGGTAAGTGGAATCGGTGGCGGCGGCGGTCTCCTTCTTGGCCCGTCTTGAAATTGCAAGTTTGGCATCGAAGATCTGTAATTCACTGCGGGCGTATGATATTTGTATTGCTGCGTGTTCTTAATAGAATTTTGCGCGACATTATGCATTGATTTCCACTGTTCCTGTAACTGCTCTGCCAACCTGAGCTGCTTCTGCTCGCGATAGGCCAAATTATTGCGTTGTCTCTTTAGTTCTTCCTGCTCCAACTGCAGAAGTTCCCTCTCCACTCGCAGCACTTCCTAAAAGGGTAATATTCTTTATGTTATCTTTACGTACACGTTTAAAATACTAAATAAAGACTTATTATTTAATAGTTAAATTTAAATATTTCTGTCACGTTAATTCTAATTACTTTTTAAAAATAAAAGCAATTATTATTAAAACAGAATAAACTTTTGAATATTTTCAAAAGGAAGTACATTTCAAACGAGTTCAAACCATGCTCATTTTCATTTGTTACCTCCGCGATTCTCTAGAACTTCGACGTTTTAATAAATATAATAATAAAATAAAATATCCCTTTTACGTACGATTAATCTACTCGTTTAACACATTATTAACATATTCAAAAAGGTATCGAGTCAAGCTGAGATTAGTTGAGATGTCCGAAAGAAAACGGGACGGTAACAAAAAGGTGCACAGAATTCCTATACGGATATTTATGTAAAAGTTCGGTGCAAACAAGCGACTAAAACAGTGGTGAAGCTGTTGTCTTACCCCGGAAGGGAATTCATCTTCGTTGCTGCTCAACCCAGCACCGACCAATGCCTTGCTCTGCGAATAATTAGCAACGATCCCTCTATCAATATTTACACTACGCTGTATACGTGATTTACACCATACTACCGAACGATCGAGTCCTTCGAGCAATGTTGAGATAATAAACGTGAGACTACCGTGCAATTTTCAAATGTAGAGGGGAAGTCCTCTATGAGATAGGTTTTTAATATGAGATAGCAGGTTTTCACACCCAAATTCAATCGCAAATCCTACACAATCTAACAATGAATTTTCCATCAAACAGATTTCTCTTAAGGAGCAATAAATTCATGGTGCAACCAACAGACGACGCCTATTAATTTAACAGAAACCCCGCTATCTTATATTAGGATCCTATCGCATAATAAGTGGACTATCCTTTGTAAAAGTAATACAATCGGATAAAAAGACATCGACGAGAATCAAGATAACACTGCCCCAAGGATGATAATATTTTCCAAGCTATCGGTTAAAAATGCGTGCCTCGGCTAGAAGAAATTTGTGCATAGCTTTAAGTTTCCCCGGAAAAAAACAAAACAAAACAAAAAAAGATTGGTAGAAATGTCACAGAAGGAACGTACTCGGAGAATTCTAGACACCCTGTTGTTCTAAATTCACTCCATCTACTTGTAAAATCAGCCTATTTTTTCCTCGTTAGTCTCGCGTTCGGAAAATAAATAAAACCGAGCGACTCTCGCCCTACCTCTTGCTCGCGAATTTGACTCTCCATCGTCCGGATGCGCATCTCCTCCTTGCGACACGCATCAGCGACTCTTCGCTCCTTCTCCTCGATTTCGTTCTGCATCCTCAGTTGTTCCGACTGCGTCTCAAGCTCCTCATCCTTTCGCTTGTCTCCGACGTACTTGGCTTCCTCCTCCGTCGTTCGCGCCTGGATCTCCCGCTGTTTCGCTGTCTCATCGTGTTGCTGTTGCGGTTGCTCGTGCGAGGGGGCATCTTCCTGCTTGCGTGCGCTGTCGTCCCTCTTGCGAAACGCGTCCTCGTTGCAGCGCAATATCGCCTCCCTCTCCAGCTGCATCTTCTCTTCCTCGAGCTCGCGCAGTTTGTGGGCCAGTTTTTCCCCCAAGTCACTACAGCATCACCAATGTATTTGACGATTTGTCCGTCCCCGATATAAATCGAGCGTTCTTTTCGCGAATAAAGTTCGGAAGCTATTTGAAAGAGCTTCAAATCTCTTGGACTGTCCTTGAGAAATACTTTTTATCAAGAGACGTCTCATTTTTATATCCGCGGACAGAAATAGCAAAAAAAAAACAAAGCATCGCGAGCCGCGATAATCTATCCGTACCTGTTGTACTCGCGATTATCGCCGTATCGCCACTGTTCTTCCTTCTCGAGCACCTCGATGATCTCCCGCTCCTTCTTCGTGATCTCGTCCTCCTCGGAGGAAGTCACGCTGGCGCCGAAGGGCTCGCTGCTCTGTCTGCTGTGCTGCGACATGTCGGGGCTGACGGGCTGCTTCGCCCAGTCCTCGACGTGTCCCAACTCGACCCCGGAGTCTCTCTCGTGGCTCGAGTCCTGCTCGTAGTTACTGTCGGTGTCGTACGAGCGGCGATGGAGTTGCTCGATGCGCCTCTCCTCGGCGAGGATCGCCGCCATATCCGGCGGTTTCGTCAGCGTCAACTCGGGCTCGAGGTCGTCGTCGTTGACCTGCTATTAACAGAATCGACATCGAGAACGCTCGTACAAATTAGCGTTGGACACGATCGATCACTCTCGAAGCGATCGAGACGAAATGGAGACGGATGGGTCTCCGCGGAGACTCTCGCGCTTACCCCCTCGATACCGAGGAAATCCGAGCGTCTCGTGCGCAGCTCTTTCTTTATTCTGCGAGTGGAGTTCAATCGCTTGAGCGGCTCCGGGGCGGGATTGTCGTCGTCGCTGATGTCCACCGGGGGCGGCGGCGGTTTCTCCTTCGGGGGTTCCACGCTCGTCGGCGGGCCCAAAAGGAAGGGCTGATCGGCGATTAGCTCCTCGTCGTTGGACAGAGTTAGCGGTAGAATCTAGATAACAAAAACGTTTTGCAAATGCCATTGTACGAGGTGCACACTGTGTGCAAAGGAGGTCGAAGGCTTGGCGTGACAACTTCAACTAACTTTTTATCCACGACTGCTGAATTTGATCTACGAATTTTTAATTTGTGACTGCCGACAATCATCATATTGTTCTCATTTTATTATTTTCATGATCACGTTAATCGCGCTGAAGATGAACCCGAGGCGTTCGCATTTTTGTAATTTTACTCTTTACTTCAAATAGTTTTTGTAATGCGTACTCGTTTATCTTATTTGACTCCAATGGCCTTTTGATGTGAATGATTGCTGTCGGAGAGTCTTTTTATTTATTGTACAACTAACTTGTTTGGAAATCGGCGAGGCCGGACTCGGGGTGTCGATCGAACCGACTTCCTGCTTGGCTAAACTCAGGTTCGTCGGTCGTTCCGGAGGGCGGTCGGCGATCGGCGTGGCGACCGCGGCACAAGGCGCGTCGTGCACGTCGACGTCGGCGTCGCGCTTGGTGACTACGACAGCGACGGCGGCGGGCATCCCGGCGCTCGTCGACGTCTCTGCCGTTTCCTGCTGCTTGTCCTCGACTGCGGGAGCCGCTGGGCGGTTCGCGGCGGCGGCGGCGGCGACCGCCTCCTCCTCTTGGTCCGCTTTCTCGATAACGATCCGTTCCTGAGGAGACGAGTCGCGGCATGTAGCAGAGTGCGAGGCATGTAAAATGCAGTTTCGCGCCGTGCGCCGAGATTTTGCAACGCTACATTCTATGCAAATCGACGGGCCGCGGGGTCTGGAAGAGCGTTTCTCAAATCCAAGAAAAACGGAGACGGACGAGTGCCGATCAGGAGGACACGATCTCCTCCCGACCGCGCTCATTAGCGCCCGAAGACACAAACGTATCTCTCGACGGGCTAATTAATGTCCCGAGAATACGTAAATAAACATGATTTTCATTTGATACTAATTGAGCGATCGGGGCAATCGCGACGCGAGGGTGAACATGACACTGCGACGATCGAATCGCACAATTGAAAAATGTCGCGACTTGCCTCTCGCTTTCCGACTAATTAATTAAGTAATTGGGGTAATCGCGACGCAAGGATAAACGTGACGGTGTCAAATTGCATTACAATTGGAAAATATCGCGACTCGCCTCTCGTTTTCAAACTATCCTACACGGGGAAATAAATAATGTAGCCTACCGTAGCTAAAAACTGCTTATGGCCACTAAATTTCACCTGTAAAATATGGACAGCTAATATTTTGCTACCGTGTCTATCGTATTAGATGCGACACCAAACCGTTTGCTGCGGTTTCAACATTTCTAGTAAATTGTGACTAGCTACGGTAGCGAAAAAAAAATTGTCTTTTAAATGTAATTAGCTCGAATATTTAACAAGGGACTGGAAAAATGTTTTGCAATGTGTATCGAGCTAGCGATTGAGCAAAGTGACGCAAGGAGGCTCAGTTAACGCGAGATAACTGCGGGAGCAAAAAAAAAAATCCTAATGACAAGTAATCGCGTTGCGACACTTGCGAGTCGAGATTACGCCCGCGGAGACACGATTTTCGTGGCTCGTGGCGTCCGCGTTCGCGACGATGACGCAATCGTTAAGTGACATAATATAATAATGCGCTTCGACGTCGCGTTTCACCGCAATTGTGATCGGCGTGTCTTCCCAGCGGCGTAGCGCGGTTGCGCGAAACAAGAAGAAAAAAAAGGGAGAGAGAGAGGAAGAAAAACGTGTTGGGAGAATGTCTCGCGCGTACACCAGATGTGAAATTCCTGCTGTGGGAATACGCGGACGCGTTTTACCAGGTCGACGCACAACGTTGCGTAACGTCGTGCATTCGACGAGTCTCTCGCGGATTCCCTCCCCTCGGCAATCACGTGTGCTTCTCTCCGCGATTTGACGCGCCTTCGCGAAGAGACGCGCGAGCTCGATATACTATCTCGTGTCTACGAGATCGGCCCCGCGATTTTGGGTAATGATCCGATAAACGACTTGATCTACGATCAGAATTTCCCGGCGTTCTCCCGCGATCGCGACGAGATCGGTCTTGTGTGGGAGATCAATATCTCGTCTACCCAGATAGCACGGTGAACCCGCCTTCGAATACTCGTATGGTGAGGGACGTATTGCTGTAACCCTTGATGATTAAATGCAGATTATTGCAAAATCTCCAGCGCTGACTGTTTTGTAGAATATTTTTACGTGATTATTGCAAAAAGAAACAAAATAATTTGCTGGCTGCGGCGATGCGTGATCGGTGCAGCATCGTCGGACAAGAAGCTTGTCAATCAAAATGTGTCCTCCCCATGCACCGTGTAACGCCCTTCCCTTAAATTAAAAGCAATTACAAGGTACTAAGACTGTAAGCGATTGAAAGGAAAGAAGCCTCAGAGAGTGCGAACAAGGAATAAAGTTCGATTAAACGCGTCTGAAATGAGAGAAATGATCGATCAATTTTTATCGAATTGAACATAGGAACGAGCGAGAATCAAGACCAGTCAAACGTTAATATACCAGAACTAATTGAATAACAATTCAAAGCAAGTTTAACTTCCCGCGACTCTCTTCTCATTTCCACTCCGTTTCTCAAAGCGGAATAGTTAGAAAGAAAAAAAAATCTTTGCGTTTCTATGTGCAGGTAACACCACTATGTAAGCTCCATTCGGTATTCCTTCTCGTTTCAAAAGCGGAGTGAACGTTCTTAGGCTAATGGCAGAGAACGATCCGTAAACGCTTAAGACTGAAGACTAGCAATTGCTGATTCGGATTGGACTGGCGATTGTCTTCTAGTCAACGAGAGCCGGTTAAATCGCTGGCTGCCTTGCTCTCGTTGGCTAAAGGACAATCGCCAGTCGCCAATTCCAATTCAATCCGAGTCAACAACTGCTAGGCTGATTCGGTCTTAAGGCCCGTTGCGCCAACGTCATGGAATTTTAACTTTAGCCTAATTCACTCTTCGTCTCTTTCTGTTTCCCTTAGAAAGCGACAAAGTTAAGACGTTGGTGCAACCGGGCCTTAGTCGTAGACGTAAGGCAAGGCAGAGAAAAACCTAATTCGCGAAAGGCTATTGTATACGACTTACGTTTTTCTCCGCCTTGCCTTACGTCTACGACGGTCTTAAGCGTTTACGGAACGTTCTCTGCCACCAGCCT